TGATAAGGCCCGCCCACCAATGGTAAGCCAATTTAACTCCTCCCTGCCAGAGATGTCTGGCACCACCCCTCCTAGGCCACCCTCTTTTCCAAGATAAACCTTCGACGGGCCCTGTTTTCTTGGAAACCCTACTCTTCTCACTTCCCAGGCCCTGCCTCCTACTAAGCCCCACCGTTCTTGCCACCCATGCCCCGCCTCCTCAGCTAGCCTGGAGTCTCCGACCTCTCAGGCCCCGCCCCTCCGTTAACAGTCTCCGCCTCTCCCAAGCTACCTCTCCTTCAGGCTCCGCCTCTCTCAAGCTCTGCCCTCCCACCAAGCCATTTTGTCACTAAGGCAAAATCCTCAGCAAATCCTCTTCTCGGGCCCCGCCCTTTCTATATAAGCCCTGCCCATCTCGCAGCTAAGACCCGCCTATCCAAGAGCAAGCCAATCCCATGCTCCCTTCCTCGTGGCCCCGCCCACACGGGACAGCCCTTGCCCTTAGGCTCCGCCTCCCCCGGGCCCCGCCCAACCTGAGGCAGGGCGATGCTGAGCTGCCGCTGCAGGGAGTCCTTCTCGTGGCCGAGCTCACGCAGCCGCAGCTGCGCTGTCGCCAGCCCGTCCTGCGCCTCTCGCAGCGTCTCCAGCAGGCGCTCGCGCTCCGTGAGCATCGTGACCATGAGGCGCTCCAGCTCGCCGCCCGCCTCGTCCGGGCCCAGCGCCGAGCCCCGCCGGCCATCCTCGCTGATGGTGGGCATCACCTCGCACATCATGGCGGCGGTGCCGGCCTGCGGGTGCACAGAAGGGGCAAACTAGCCTTGTCAGGGCTCAGGCAGAGAACTGAGGCGCAGCTAGTGCAGTACACCCTGGGGCCCCAATCCAAGCATTGCACAGGGGGCAACTGAGGTCAGCCAAGCTGATCATGACATGGGGAAACTGAGGTACAGCCACATGGTGGAGAGGCAGGGGAACTAAGTGCTGGCCGCCAAGAGCGGGAAACCTGAGGCCTGTCCTTTGTAATCATGACGTACATAAACTGGGAATCCATTGCTCTTAGATAAACAACGGGGACTTCTTAGGTAAAAGCGGGACTCTAAGGCCTAGCTCCGCCAGACACTGGTAGCAAACCAAAGCCTGGCCACTCAGGAAATGAATAAAGCTGGAGGACCAGTCACTGGCTGAGTGGGTTAAAACCAGCCACAGTTGTGGCTCCGCTTGCATCCTCAACCCACTCCATAGATGGGGAAACGGAGGCCCAAATGAGAACCACGCCTTGAAAAAGTCATGGGGCTTCGGGTACTGAATTAGGCCACTAGGCTGTGATTTGCCCATCTCTCTCTATGATCTAAAGACCAACACTCCACTTGAAAGAATAAGAATAAAAAAACAGCACGAGAGCTGGAGGTGTAGCTCAGTGGTAAAGCATATGCTTGGCACAATGTGAAGCTCTGGGTTGGATCCCCCATACTAGTAAAATAAAATACCCACTTATTAAGCTAGGCAAGGTGGTGTATGCCTGTAATCCCAGTACTTGGGAAGTGGAATCACAAGGATCAGGAGTTCAAAGTCATCCTCGGTTATTTTAGGGAATTCTGGCTGGCTCGGGATTACATTAGACCCTTTCTCAAAAAACAGAAACAAAACAAAAATGCATAACAGCAAGCAGGGCTGAGTCATCTCCCTCAAGTCACAGGTGTCTAGGCGCTCCACAGCCCATCGCCCCCTACATCCAAGGGTCTGCGCCTCCAGCAATGTCTTCCCGCACTCCACTTTACTCATAGTGGCTCTAGATCGCCTGCAAGACCCATAAATCTAAGCCATTGCACCCTTCTGCCCACCCACTCGGGATCTAGATGTCTTGGGATGCTTCTCCAGTCCCGCCTCATGAGGCGTTAACCAAGAGTGTGGGAGGAGAAAGGGGCGGGGTTTATAGGGCCGGAAGGCGGGACTTGGGCCCCCCTGGCCAGGGGCGGGACGGAGATGTAGAGAAGGCTAGGGAGCCTCTCCCTGGAACTCTTCAGGTCCAACAGGTCCATCTGGCCTGGCCGAAAGCAGGAGGGACTTTCATTCCCCCCCACACACCCCAATCCATGCAGCGGCCTAACCGGTTTGAAATTGGATACTTCTCAACTCCACCCAAATGAGAACTGTGACCAAAGCCTAGAACTAGGTCCTTGGGTTCCTGTGAGAAGAGGCTGCAGGGCTCTGGAATACAGGAAAGAATGCAACTGGGTCCCTAGATCCCCTTTATCTTTAAATTGTAGGTCTGAAACTCTACACCTCCCAGAAACTGAGTTCAGGAAAATGTTTTTGAGAGAGAAGGCCAGCTTTAGGCTAGACCCCAACATGGAAGCTCAAACCCACACTCGAGTCAGAACACACAGCCTAGGATGACTTAGATAGTTGTAGACCTCAGATTCACTGAGAAAGAAAGTGGGTAGTTGGGCTGGAGAAATGGCTCAGTGGTTGAGAGCCCTGTCTGCTCTTCCAGAGGACCCACACGGCAGCTCACACCTGTTTGTAACTCCAGTTCCAGGGCTTCTGAAGCCCTCACACAGACATACATGCAGGTAAAACACCAATGAACATAAGATAGAAATAAATCATTAAAGGAAAAAAAGAACGTGGACATTCAGTGTCACCAAGATGCTACGTAATGCAGAACAGACAAGAACTTCCACACTGAGCATGTGACTGAGGGCAAGAGCTGCTATGCTACAGCCGAGGTCTGGAAGGGAAAGCCAGCCCAAAGCAACCTGATAATATAAATAGATGTCTGGGTCACCCAAGAACCCAAAACACAGAGGTGAGCAAAATGACACCGAGGGACATCCCTAATGCAGAACATAGTAGATCTGGTCAAAAGACAGAGTCTGGAACTCAGAGCTTGCTCAGCATGAATGCATGGACACAAAATATAAGCCAAGTCCACAGCTGATCCCAGGTAAGGCAGGAGGATTGCAAGTTTAAAACTAGCCTTAGGAAATCCTCTTCCAAACACACACACACACACACACCAGGATCAGCAAGATGGCTCAGTGGGCAAAGGCACTTGTTACCAAAACTGGAGACCTGAGTTTGATTCTCTGGGACCCATATGGTGTAAGTAGAGAACCTACTCCTGCAAGTTGTCATTTGACCTCCACACACACTCTGTGGCATGTGTGCACACATACAAAAAACCCAAAAGTTTAGTAAACACGGAGAGATACGAAGAGATTCTCTAATTGGGGTGCAGGGTGTTCAGGAAACCAGAACATTTTGAGGCTGAAGACTTAGAACGCCAAAACAGCAGATGGAGATTAAAGCCTATGTCCCACTAGGGACAAGTCTGACACCAAAGCTAAGGCCACAGTAAGGAAAAGAAAGGAGCCGAGGATTGAGAAAACAGGAACCTAGAACCTGAGGCTTGAAAAGATAAGAAGGCTGCTCTGGAATCTTCCAGGTTTAATATTGTGCAAGCTACAGAGGTTGGAGAGATGGCTCAGCAGTTAAGAGCACTGGCTACTCTTCCAGAGGACCTGGGTTCAATTCCCAGCACCCACATGGAAGCTCACAACTGCCTGTAACTCCAGTTCCAGGGGATCTGGCACTCTCACACAGACAAACATGCAGGAAAAAAAAAAAACACACACCAATGCAAATAAAATAAATCATTTTTAAAGGATTGTGAAAATTAGAGTTGATAGCAAAAGTCCAAGGAATGCTAGACTATTAATTGAAAACAACATATTCTACAAGTTAGAATACCCATGGAATGAGAAGGAAGTCTAGAACAATGGCAGACATGGCCAGAACATAAAACACATCCAAAATGAGAACTTGGGAGAGATTACACAGAGATTATTCAAAGGGATGGGTGGGGCGGTATCTTTTTGTTATGGATCTAGTGCTAGGAATCAAACCCTGGACCTTGTGTATGTGAGGCAATTGCTCTGTCATGGAGCTGTACCCCCAGTCCCAGTGTAGGGCATGTCTGAGAGGAAGACTGAGAGCAGAAATTGGCATAGGGTGTTACCTAGGTATTTGAAAAGACCAGACGAGAAGGAGGGGGAGGAGGAGGGGGGAGAAGGAAGAGGGGGAAGAGGAGGGGGGAGGAAGAAGAGGAGGGGGGAGGAGGAGAAGAAGAAGGAGAAGAAATGTGCACAACATAGTGAGTTCTAAGCCAGCTTGAGCTACATGGCAAAACCCTGCTTGTTGGGGATGGGGAGGAAGCAAGTGGAAAAAGACACGCCTAGAATTTTGCACGTGGTATAGAATGTAGATCATGCCTTGGTGAGGATGGAACAGATGTATCATCTGGAAATGTTCTGGATCTTGGAATCTTAAACATAACACAAGGAAAGGACTCACTATAACGAGAAATGCAGGAAGATGGCTGGTAGGTTCCAGATCCCCTCATGAACCCTGACCACAGAGCACACTTGGAGAAGGACTGTTTGGTAGTTGGAGTATGAGATTTCAGACATCACCATATGGGTCTCTAGAGGCATTGAAATGCCAGAAATACACCAACCACTCAGCTTTAGTGGGAGAGGAGACTCTGGAAGTCTAGCACCTGAGGTGACAGGCAGATGAGTTCAAGGCCATGGAAGATGTGAAGTTGACAGAATGGTGAAGCCACAAAGACCTAAAGATGGGAGTGCAGTGGACAGCCAGGGGTCCAGACCTTTGCATGCACGTGGAGGTGTTAGAAACTTAGAGCCTGAATGTTTGATGGGAGTGTAGGGCTGGGCAGGTGGTCTGATGGACAGGGCAGTTGCCGCAGTCTGAGACTCTGGGTCTCTGAGATGTGCTTGTTTGGATGGGGGTTACAAGATGGGGCGAGACACCTAGATCTCCAAGGAGGAAAGAGGACAGAAGCAGAGGAATTGCATTCCAGACTTCTGAAGGGAACTCATGGCGCCTGAGTCCCTAAGGCAGCAAGCAGGTGCTGGTGTACCAGGAGGCTGGGCACATTTGTCTGACAAGGGGGGGGGGCTGTTAAACTAGGTGCTAAGTGGAGGGGGGTGGGCAAAAGCTAAGAAACTCGATTCTCCAGGTGCTGAATAGGGTGATGGCGATTACTCAGGGCCAGCAGATAGATGTATGGGCACTAACAGCCTTTCAGAACCAAGGTCTCTAAAGTGGTCTGGGCAGGGACATTCAAAAGCCCTGACTATAAGTGAAGCAGCTAGAGCCCCGGAAAGCTAGGGTGCCTAAACATGGGCCTGAGAACCCTGCGGCCCAGCTGGGAGGGGGGCGTCGGGGATCCCCAGGTCAAAGGCGCGGCTGTGGGGGGATCCCCACGCCGCCTGCACCCCCTCCTTGGCGGCGGTGGCAGGAGATGGGGGAGGCGAGGCTGCCGAGAGAGCTGACCATGGACAGCTCCGGCGCGGGCCTGTTTCCAGGGCGAGCCAGCCCGGATCGAGGAACGTCGCCGGCTGTTCCAGCCAGAAGGTGGGGGGCGCGAATGGGGGAACGATTCGGACGCAACAGAGGTAGCCCCACAGCGGTAGCAAGTGTCTGGAGCTCCCAGGACTGGGCCCGGAGGAGGGATCTAGACTGAGAGGTCCCCTGTGCTGAGCTGAGGGATTCAGGCTTCTGGGCCCTAAAGGAGGCGAAAGGAGGCAACCCTCCTGAGATACCAGGGTTCGGCTGGGGACTCTGGGCTCCGGGAAGGGACACGCCTGGCTCTCCTGGGTTGGCTTGTGAAATCTGGACTCTGGGTTCCCTCGGGATGTAGATGGGAATGCAGGATTTCGGGCAAGCGAGTGGGGGAGGCTAGCCCAGGGGTCCCCGGGGTGGGCGCTGCCAGGCAGGCTGGGCCGGGCTCTTACCTACCTGGTCCGCGGCGACTGCGGGAGGAGCTGGGCTGCAGTAGGGATGCGGGGTGGGGTAGGGGCACCGGGCGGGGCCCCTGGCGGCGACCGGGGCCCGGATCTGGAGCTCTGGAGCCCTGTCTACGCCGCTAGCGCGGGCTCAGCGTCTCTTGCTCCGGCTCCGGCGCTGGGGACCCCCCTCCCCCTCACGGTCTCACAGCCTTATTCCCTAAAATAGCCCCCTGCCCTTGTCACCGTACAGCCTCCCCCCGCGAGGCCGCAGTCGCCAGATCCAGGGGTGCCCACCAGCGCCCCCCCCAAAATCCCACCTTCTCCCCCCAAAAATTTCTCCTCCCTCCCCCTCCCCCCCACAGATCCCAGGCGGTCGTGGCCCCTTTAACAGAAGACTGACGGACGGCGCTGAGCGGCCAATGAGAATTAGCGTCCGTGCCGGCCGGCGACAAGGCCCCGCCTTCGCATCCAGAGGGAGGGGCCGCGCGGGCGGAGAGGTGAGGGCGGGACTCATGGTGCAGCAACCAATAAGCATGCAGCGTGCAGCGGCCTGGATGGAGGCGGAGCCCGGCAGAGGATGATGTCACCTGAATCTAGTAGCGCGCGGCGTGGAAAGCGAGTCACGACCCCGCGTTCCCGCGGCAGTGCGCGTCTAACGGGACAGGAGGGCTAGGTGGCGGGATGGGAATTCAACATTCGAGGTGGGAATTTTTTTTCTTTTTTTTTTTCAAGGCAAGGGCGGCTCCCGGAAGGATGTGCTCGGTTGGAAGGTGAGGCTAGTAGCCGATGGGTAGCGAGTGCCTGGTACTCCGCACCCCTGCGCCCGCCTGGGGAACTGCACGCGGCCCGCCACCCCCGACTCCCACGCAGACGGTGGCACGGCCCACAGGGCTCCCCCAGCGAATGGTTCGCTCCGCCACGCCTACAGAGGCTGCGCTCAGGCTCCTGCCGCGTTTCAAGACTCCCGCGTCTGACCCGCGGCGGAAGACCCTACCAGGCCCTCTCCTTCCGAACCTCTTAAGTGTTGGGGACAGTGGTCTTCAGTGCTGCGCCCTGGCACTCATTTAGACGCAGCCTCGGGCCGGGCTAGTCTCTGGGAAGCCGGCCAGCCTCAGCCCTCGGAGCTGCTTGAGCGGTGTCTATCTCGCTACCCATACTGGAAAGAGCTTGGTTTTAACCTCAGCTTCACCCTCCTCCTCCACAGACACTATTCCAGGATGCGCGACAGACACACAAGACACTCGGTGAGGGTTAAAGATCTTTAAATAAGGTGCCAGTGACAATAAATAATACTGTACAGGAGAGGAGGATCCTGCTCTGTGATTTCAGCCTCGAGACTCCAAAGACCTGCAAGGATGTGGAGAGGGGAGGTTCAGGCACAGAGGAGGTTAAGTGGGGCATGGGATGTTTAAGGATGGGGTTCTGGAGTCAACGGTTCAGAAAAGCAGGCACAAGAATTCTGATATTAGGGAGCCAGAGGGTCCCAGGGCCTTGGCTACCATGGTACAGGTCAAGAGTCAGGAAGTCCCTGTGAAGAGCCAGGGATAAAGGATGAAGGCCGCTGGGCTCACTGGCCTGGTTTGGGAGTCTGAGGCTGGGGAAGGCAGCAGGGGGAGGGTGGTCACTGGAGGCTCACGAGTAGCTGTGGTGCTGCTGGCGCCGACGGGCTGATCGCATCTTCTCAAAGCGGGCTTCCATCTCCTCCAGCACCCGAGGCGTGTAGCGTACCACCAGTTTCACTGAGCCCTGGGCGGCCTTCAGGAGTTCCACCGCTTTTTCATGGTGTTCGCCCTCCACACTCTGCAGGGCAGGCCTCGCACAGACTGCTGGCCCAAACCGCTGCCCTTACCACCCTACCCAGGACACGGGACCAGTGGATAGTGAGACGGCTGCTGGGGTCGAGTCTCCAAGGCCTCATACCCCCACCCGACGTGGATTACCACCTTCAGACTCAGCACCCACACCCTAAAATCTGCCATGGCAGTGCAGCTTAGTCCTTAGTCAATGAACCAGGTCACTGAACCTGTCCTTGTCCTCCCAGAGTCCCAGAGAGGTCTCTCTACACCTCCGAAGCCCATTGCTCTCCTGTCCTCACAGCCCAGGAACAAAAGCCCAGCTTTTCTGGCCAGACTACCTCCTCACTGGTGCTTCCTTGGATTCTAACCACTGGGGTTTCAGGATGTTGGGTGGCTCAGACTTCTATTAGAGCCAACCTTTCTCCTCATGTCAGGGAGTGCAGTTACAGACCCGATCTGTTCTCAGCCAGAACCACCCTCCACCTCTTAGTCCGGAGAATTACCCATCCTTCACCATCCACCCCTGAGGTTCCTCCTGCAAAGACTTGCCTCCTCTACCCTGGACTAGTATCCCAGCTAGGCTCTCTGAAATCCTTGAGGGCCAGCAGTGTACCCCACAGGGTGTCTACAAAGGCTACGCTCCATCCAGTGCTTCCATACAGACACTGCGCTACCCCACTCACCACACCATTCACAGACAGCAGCTGGTCTCCCCTCTTGAGGCCACCATGGCGATCAGCCACACCTCCAGGGATTACTCGGGAGATATAGATGGGCGAGTTCTGCTCTTTGCCGCCCATGATGTTGAAGCCCAAACCCTCATCAGTCTTGGGTAGTTCCACGACCCTGGGGTGCGCATGACCCTCACTGGCTGTGAAGGCAGCCACTGTGGCCTGGAAGAGAGGAGGTGCCTTGTTGTGAGGGACCCCCCTTGAGGGAAGGGCACCGCAGCCAGAGAACAAAGGTCAAGTAGGGGAGTCCTGCCACAGAGCAACAGTAGGCCCCCTTGTGGTGACTAGAACCCGTGAGACCACTTGGCGTTCTTCCACAAGCCAGGTATGTCCACCCAGGTATGTCCTCGGTACTGAGCACCTGCCAATCTTGCTTTCAGACAAATGGAAACTAGCCCCCACCCCAGGACTGAGGTGGGTGAGGTGGGGACAGGACCGAGTCTGCAGGCAGTAACAAGAGTGTGGCACTGCAGTTTGGATAGGTGTCCCTGTTCACGACACCCAACTAGATTGTCTTTTAGGGTCATCTTCATGGTAGGCGAGTGAGGCCAGTTTCCACGCCTGTTGCTAAAGAGAATCTCATGTACATTCAAGTTAAAAATGTGCAGTTATTTAAAAGGTATTATAAATAAATCTTCATAGGGTGGAAGAGACGAGCAAATGAGGAAGGCACAGGGATAGCCAGCTTTGGGAGGGCACTGTGCCTGTGGTCACCCAGAGCTGCGGGGGCAGGCGCCTACCTTGGCTGTGGCGTGAGCCCGCACCTCGGCGCTGCCAGTGATGTCCAGGGTGTCATAGAGCTGCTCATACACCTGAGGGTGTGGGGGAGGCGGCAGCATTAGGGAGATGCCAGTCCACAGCCCTGGACACGACTACCTGCGTCCGCTTGCCCGTCGCCGCCCCCGCCGCGCAGCGCAAGGAAACTACAACTCACATAGTACCAGGGTGCTCACCTCGCGGATGGCAGAACAGAAGCGACTCTGCAGGACCCGCTGCAGGGCCTGCAGCTTCTGCGGGGGCAGCTCTCCGCTGCGTTGCAGCCGCTCCAGCAGCTCCACGGCCCGGGACACGTCTGCAGAACGCGGTGGGGACCGCGAAGGCACGCGAGGGCAGCAGGAAGGGCGAGCGAGGTCAGGCTGTAAGCGGTCGACGCGTCCCGCGGGTCCCCTGGACCCCAACCCCAGGCAGGGTGTTCTCGGGGCGCTCCGCCCCAGACCCTCCCACGCCCACAGACCGCAGGCCGCGCCCCGCCCACCCCAACTACGCCCGCCCCCGGCATTTGCCTGGCTGGCGCGGCCCACTGAGCCTAGAGGCCGGACCGGATCCCCCGGAGCGCTTACCCCGCTCCAGCCCCAGCGGCTCCACCAGCGCAGCCATGTCGCGGCCAACACTAACCACCCGCCCAGGCGCCAGCGAGGAGGGGGAGGTGCAGCGCGAGGCCCCGCCCACCAGTGCCGGCAAGGAGGTGGTGCAGCGTGAGACCCCGCCCACACGGCTACCAACAGTTCGAGGCCCTGCCCTCACCACGGACGGCAAGGCGGTGCTACGCAGGGGCCCCGCCCACTCCGGAACTCTTGCGAAACCCTAGTCCTGTGCGTGCCTAGTCCGGTGCCACTACATCACTACTAAGTGCACGGGTTTGTTCTGCTTGCGATCTTCCTGTTGCACCTTCGGCGTGCTGCTTTGCTCCTTGCAGCATGGCTGTGCCCTTCCGGTACTTTCCGCTCATTTCCACACTCACAAGTCCAGAGGGGCGTGGTTTCACAGGACTCCAGGGGCCTAGGAAAGAGGATAGCTGCGACTTGGAAGCCTGGGATACATACCGAGAGCCTGTCTCCAAAACCAGAAAAATGGAATCTGAAGCTGCAGATGTAACCCAGTCAGTAGAGTGCTAGCCTAGTATGCTCAAGACTCTGGGTCCCATCCCCAGCAGGGCATAAATCACAGGGTAGTGCTTGCCAACACTCGGAAGCCAGAGCAGGAAGATCAGAACCCTGTTCAAGGTCACCTTTGGTTACACACACAGAGCCTGGTGGCTTACACCTTTAATCTCTACACTCCAGAGGCAGAGGCAGACAGATCTCTGAGTTTAAGGCCAGCATGATCTACACCCAGGCCAGCCAGGGCTACATAGTGTGACCCTGTCTAGAGACAGAGACACAGAGACAGACATGAGCAAGGACCTTCACAGTTCAGAGATTTTTGGAAGATAAAGTCAACGAACCATGTCGGGCGGTGGTGGCACACGCCTTTAGTCCCAGCACTCCAGAGGCAGAGGCAGGCGGATCTCTGTGAGTTCGAGGCCAGCCTGGACTACCAAGTGAGTTCCAGGAAAGGCGCAAAGCTACACAGAGAAACCTTGTCTCGAGAGAGAAAAAAAAAAAAAAAGTCAACGAGCCATAAAACCTAGGTCACCCAGAGTGCCCAAGAGGCTGGGCAGTCACGATGGCACGAGTGGTCTTGTATTTCATGTTGGATCTGTATTTTTATGTAAATCTCTAAGAGTGACCTAGGATGGTCTAATGGGTATCTGAAGCTCTCTGGGGCACCCAGGGAGTTTGGATTGTAGAAGAGGCAGGAGGGAGATGTTGTCCCAGCAAGCTGAGGTCTGGGGGACGGGCAGACTAATGTGGAACTGCTTGAACAGTGTCTATCTCGTTGGTACTTGTCTAGTAAGAAGGCCCTGGGTTCAGTCTCCAGCACTGCATAACTTCATTGTGATGGTCACTATGGAGGCAGGAAGACCAAGGTGGCCAGCTTAGATGACAGATGCTTAAGCCCTGAACACTTGAGCCTGTGATGTCTGAAGGGAGGCCAGACCGAACTGGAGGTCAGAAGATGCTGCTGACTGTTAAACCAAGGGGACAGGAGTGCAGGAACAAGGAAACCAAGAACGGGGGAGCTAGGAGGAAAGCTGGGTGGGGAGGCACAAGAGCTGGCTGTTTTAAAGAGTGGTCAGTGATAGGGAATGCTGTTGACGGTTGCTGGGTTACAGGATGCTGATTTAGTTGGGTGGGGATGTGGGGTCAGAAAAGGCTGTGTTCAAGGGCAGAGTGGGAGCAGGCTTCTCTGGCTCTCCACCACAGTCCTCTCAACAGTAGCAGTGTCGATGATAAAAACATCACTGTGGCAGGCGGCAATGGCGCACACCTTTAATCCCAGCACTCCGGAGGCAGAGCCAGGTGGGTATCTATGAGTTCGAGGTCAGCCTGGTCTACAGATCGAGATCCAGGACAGGCACCAAAACTACACAGAGAAACCATCTCTCCAAAAACAAAACAAACAAAAACCCCAACAACAAAAAAACATCATTGTGCCTGTGCCTTTCCTTAACTACCCATTTCATCAGATAGCCTAAGATGGCCTTGACCTTGGCCTCCTACCTCAGCCTTCCAAGAGCAGGGATTTAAGGCTTCTCCCCTCCCCCCATGCCTGGCTTCAAAAGCA